AAGGAAAGAAGGGTTCGTTTCGCTGCCTAAAATTAGACTTCGTCCTTCGATAGTTTAATTTCTAATCTAAGTTTTTTTTTTTTTTGGGACAGAAAATTTCATCGTCCGAATCAAAGTTGAGGTCTCTGGTTGCATAACATATTCCACATTCTAACGGGCCTTCAACGACTCAAGCTCAGGACCCCAAAAAAAACAAAAAAGAGGACTCAAAACTCACGATGTGTCACATCAACAAGTCGTATGTAGGCCGGGTCGTACCCAAAGACTAACAAGCCGATGGCCTCTAAACCATCCTCGTAAGGAAAGTTGATTTAGGTTGTCCCAACATATTAATTCTTTTCGTTCAAAAAATAATAAGAATTTGCATTTGGAACAAAGTAAAACCGATTCAATAGTTCAAGACCAAAATGAGATGACGATTTAATTTAGGAATAAAGTGTAATTAACCCCAAAAAAAATTACAAAATGAGACTAATGAGCCTTTCAAATTTCCATCGACCCAAAATAACGTGCAAAAATTGAGAAATAAAGCAACGTGTGTAAGGGTGGTTTGCAGAGGTATCGTAAGTAATACAACGAAATGTTAAAATTAATACTAACTATTTTTTGGATTTAACTTGATTCCAAAAAATTATAACTAAATTTACAAGAAATATAATTTTTAATATGATACTTTTTCGGTACTTTAGTTCCACTCTTTTCTTTTGTGAAATAACGATGGTAAATCACAAAGTCAAGGGGATCCAAAGAATATTTTAAAAGAATAATATTTTTTGGATTTAAAAATTTAACTTAATTATCGACTTAATAATGTGATTTTAGTAGAATCATTGAATGAACACAAAATTTTGATGTTTGATGAGTCCACAATTAATCCAAAGATTATAAAAATTAGATTAAGAAATTATATCACAATAACATTGATCTTTTCGGAAAAAAAAAAAAAAGACCACAAAGAGACCCAATTTTAGCAAGTCCACTTTTTGTGGAAGCTTTGGACTTTCCGTTGCAAATCTTAGCTAGACCCTCCCTCAATTCCAAATACAATATCAATCTCGTTCCTACCAATGTTTTAATTAGTCTCATTAGGTGGTCAATGAAGTTTCTTATGCTTCATAGGAGGGGGGGAAAAAAAGAAGACATTGTCCAAGGGCATTTCTTGTCTCATGTTCCTCTTCCAAGTAAAGGATTCACAGAAATGAACCTGTGGACTTAACAATATGGGCCACTGGATTGTAGGTAACTCTTTTGTCTTTGTTTATGGTTGTGCTGTTGGTGATAATTTTTCATTTTTGAAAACTCATATTAATCCTTGAATAGGCAACGACGTAAATATTTTGACTGTTGTCAATATATCATGTAATTATTTCAAGGACTTGTATTGGACTGAATCATAATCACCGAGTATTGCAAGAAGTGAAAAATTGTGATAACATAGAAGTAACTGTAGTTTGGAATTGATTTAGGACGGTGTATGAAATTAAATTCAATATTTTAAATGACAGTCCCTACCATGGACCGATCCGGAATTAACAAAATGGAAATCCAAACCTTGATTTCCTTGTCAATGTTATCCAGTCACATGACCAAGTTAATCTAGAGGCCTATGTGACTGTTTGTGGGTTTTATCTATTCAGAAACACCTTTTGACAATCCCTATCTAAGGTGGGTTTAGCTCATAGATGACCCAGTTAAACCATTAGGGAAAGGCAGGCCAACACTAATGTATTCCAATGAATTATATTAAGGGTGCATTAAAAATGCCGTAAACATAAAATAACACAACAACTAGCACTATAAATGGCAACCTCCAATATTCAGAATCATCACAGATCTACACTAACTTAGAATTAATCGCCGTTTTGTTCCAAACTCATAGATTAGCATTTCCAAGTCCCAATCCAATCAACATCTTCAAGTTTCTCCGAGCCGGCCATCGTTGCAGCCAACACTCCTTAATTTCTCCCTCCAACTATCTCTCTCTCTCTGTGGAATATATAGTATATATACCTCGTGTGGTGGTTGTTCTAACGCAAGGCAGAAACATATTCTAGTTCTGCAATCATGGAGAACAAGATGGGTAGGCCAAATATTCCTCTCTTGTTCATTCTCACTATCGCTTGCATGTTCAGTTTCACTCTAGCCACCGCTCACGAACCAGAAAGTTCATGGGAAAGTAATGCTGACATTGACCAGAGCAATTTAGATACATATATCGTCCATCTGAATCAGCCCAATCGTCGAGTTTTCACTCATTCAGAAGATCTAGAAAGCTGGTACCAATCATTTTTGCCGCCAACCACCACGAGCATGAATAAGCAATCACGCATGGTGTATTCATATCGCAATGTGATCAGCGGGTTTGCAGCCAGATTGTCACCGCAGGAAGCAAAAGCCTTGGAAAAGAAGGATGGGTTTGTATCAGCTCGGCCCCAAAAGGTGTTGCCTTTACATACAACTCATAGTCCAAGCTTCTTGGGTTTGCACCAAAATTTAGGGTTTTGGCAAGGCTCAAATTATGGAAAAGGTGTGATTATTGGCGTTTTGGACACTGGAATTACTCCATCCCATCCTTCCTTCAGCGACGAAGGAGTACCGCCTCCACCGGCTAAATGGAAGGGGAAATGTGAACTAAATGGCACGATGTGTAACAACAAACTCATCGGTGCAAGGAACTTTGTGAGTGGCTCGACAGAACCACCAATTGATGACGAAGGACACGGCACCCATACATCGAGCACTGCTGCCGGAAACTATGTTGAAGGGGCGAATGTTTTTTGCCATGCCAATGGCACAGCGGCTGGCATGGCTCCTCTGGCTCACTTGGCTATTTACAAAGTATGTGGTGAGACAGGTTGTGGCGAAAGTGACATATTGGCCGCAATGGACACTGCAGTTGAGGATGGCGTTGATGTGCTCTCTCTCTCCATTGGTGGATGGTCCTCTCCTTTCTTTGATGATGGCATTGCGATTGGGGCATTTGGTGCAATTCAAAAGGGAATTTTTGTTAGTTGTTCAGCTGGAAACTCTGGCCCAGTCAATGCTTCGTTATCTAACGAGGCCCCATGGATTCTTACTGTTGGTGCAAGCACCATCGATCGAAGCATAAGAGCAATGGCAGTGCTCGGAAACCTTGTTTTGTTTGATGGCGAGTCTCTTTTTCAGCCTCCTATGTCGTTCGATTTATTGCCTCTTGTTTACGCTGGCACGAATGGGGATCAAAATGCTGCATTGTGCCGGCCAGGATCATTGAATAACACTGATGTCGAAGGCAAGGTTGTATTGTGTGAAAGAGGGGGTGGGATAGCTAGAATTGCCAAAGGGCAAACAGTGAAGGACGCGGGTGGTGTCGCCATGATTCTTATGAATCAAGAACAGGATGGTTATAGTACATTAGCTGATGCTCATGTTCTTCCTGCAACACATGTAGGCTACAAAGCTGGACAAGATATCAAAGCCTATATAAACTCGACCTCGTCACCTATGGCTACAATCATATTCCAAGGAACTGTAATTGGAGTAGATTATGCTCCTTGGTTACCTCATTCTCTTCCAGAGGCCCTAGCTTGGCAAGCCCAGGCATTCTGAAACCTGACATTATTGGTCCTGGTGTGAGCATTCTTGCTGCATGGCCCATCTCTGTGGAAAACAACACCAATACAAAGGCCACATTTAACATAATTTCTGGCACCTCAATGTCTTGTCCTCACCTCAGTGGCATCGCGGCATTGCTGAAAAGTGCACACCCAGAGTGGTCACCTGCTGCTATTAAGTCTGCAATCATGACAACTGCTGATCAGTTAAACCTCGATAAAATGCCTATCGTTGACGAGAGGTTTCTTCCGGCTGACATTTTTGCCCTCGGGGCAGGGCATGTCAACCCATCTAAAGCAGACGACCCAGGGCTTGTCTATGACATCCAACCCGATGATTACATCCCCTATTTATGTGGATTGGGTTACACTGACCAAGATGTTAGTGTCATTGTGCAACGGACCATTAACTGCTCCCAAGTATCAAGCATACCTGAAGCAGAACTTAACTATCCTTCATTTGCGATAATACTTGGGTCAACCCCTCAGACATATACAATGACATATACGAGGACAGTGACAAATGTCGGCCCGGCTAACTCATCTTACTATCCTGCCATTTATGAAGTACCAGGAGTTGTTCTTAGTGTCGAGCCTTCGAGGCTCGACTTCTCAGAGGTGAATGAAAAATTGACGTACCAAGTAACATTTACCCGATTAGCCAACAGTGGAGTCAGTGTGCCCTATGTTCAAGGAGCTCTTGTTTGGATTTCTGGTAAGTACCACGTTAGAAGCCCCATCTCCGTTAAGTTGGAGTGACAGAAAAAGGCTGTCAAGATTCCAACTATCATATAAGATTGAAATCTCCAAGGGACTTTAATTGTAGTGAGTTTGTAATGTTTAACTCATTGCCTCGAATAACTGATATTTTGTATCACCAATGCCTTGAATAATATTCAATTTGAAATTTCTGAAACTTGGATCTTTGGAGAAAAGAAAATGGTGCTCATTTTCTAGAGTAAGTTTGCAATCTTTTATGCATACAATTGATATTGTTTTAACGAGCTATTGTTTCTTTTTCAATTACCAAGCATAACATGCATGGGACAACGTTATGCCAAAAAATCATGACACCCATGGATATAGAAACAATGGAAGTCACAAATCAAGCCAAGATTATGTTCTTAATTAATTAGTGGCAGAGGTAAAATCATACATAAACCTGATTCTTGTAGTTCTCATAATATTATGAGCCTCATGTATTTGGTTATCTTTTTTTCGTGGACGAGAGATGATAGATCTCTTCATTACTTCACCAAAACTCTGCCCATATTAAGAGGGGCAAAACTCATAGCAAAAAGGGTTCACAAGAAGAAAAACTAAACTATACTTACAGAACAAAAACATATTTCTGTTGCATGAAATAACAACAAATTGGTTAACATTAGAGTGCAGAGTCCGGGATAACTCAAAGTAGTTATTTATACTGCTATAGTTAGACTAAGTGCAAGAGCTAAATGAAAATTTTCTACACGAAACTCTTGTTGCTGTAGTGTCTAAATGTTGAAGGATTAGATTTGTTAAAAAAGTGAGATCATTAGATTTATTGGAGCTACTACATGGAATAAATTCTCCTATATCATCTCGCTAGTGGTCGGGTCACCATATCCTTATAACTCACCATATGGAGTTTGGTTAAATCTCTAGAATCCAATCTTCTTACAAAAGTATATATTATTCAAATTTTTTTTTTTTGAATCAAGTATTATTCGAATTTAGAATGGTAGATTTTGTCCCCAAACTAAATTTAAATAGTTAAAAATCTCTATCCAATTATTGAATTGTCCAAAATACACCTCTAGTCTTGGTAGAGCAACGGTTTAAATAATAGTAAAATCTTAGTAAATTACTTAAAAAATATGAATATCTCGATTCTTAAACATCATAAAGAGTAATGTTATTAGTATTTACAAACATAACCTAATCAATTTACTGACCTAATGACGTGTCTTCATTATAATTGTTAAATTAATATAAATATTTGATGGAGTCAACGATCAATTCATTAGTCATATTGAATTAAGTCAACAAATTAGATCACTAAAATAAGTCTCAATAGCATTCATCATAAAAGCAGTGACAATGTCATGCATCAACAAGTTTTTTTTTTTTTGGTTTAGGATAAGTATACGGCACCCAAAGTGTCTATTTGCAATTAATCTCTAACAGCGAAAAAATTTGTAATGAACTGTTAAAATGATATGCTTTGATCCCAAAAGATGTACTTTTTTAGAACTAATCCTAAAATGTTAAAATCAATATCAACTTTCTTTTTTGATTTAATTTGACTCCAAAATTTTTAGATACTTTTTCTATAAAGTAGTTAAAAGGACAATGCTACGTAAACATTATTTAGTGATTTAATTTGTTGATTGTATCATTTTTTATCAATAGATTGATAGTGGATCTCATTATTAATTAAGATTTACTATCAATTCAATGACTATGATCTATAATATAATCAAATAAAGTCACTAAATTAGATACACAAAATATTTCTCATAGTTCCACTCTGATGGTCAGGTCATGAGTAATTTATTTCTTATTAATGCTCTGATCACAACGTGAATGATTTATTTTGATCAAATTATATAGAAGAATAGTCGAGATACACTCAAAATAATTCGAACATCATTGACCGTTAAAATACAGTCTGTATTTCAGTAAAAGTGGGTTGGATAAATCACAAAGGCAACAGAACCCGAAGAACAATTTCAAAAGAAGACGACAACGAAGCACAAAAGAGACCCTATTTTGGCAAGCGCACTATTTCTGGAAGCTTTGGACTTTCTCAATCTCGTTCCCACCAATGTTATTGTCTCATTACGTAGTCAATAAAGTTTCTTATACTTCATCGGAGAAAAAACAAGACATCCTCCAAGGACATTTCTTGTCTCACGGTCCTCGCACGGGATAATTCCTGTAATAGTGTGAGACAACGATCTTCAAATTGACAAACCTGAAACAATAGGGTCAGAAAAAAGGAGGTCAGGCGAGTGCCTGGCTAATTTCCTCCGAAACTTAAGTCAATATAAGGTCGAAAGGTTTTGCTCAATAGACTATTTTTCTGGTTCGAGTTTGCGTATATTTGTCCATTTTTGTGAGGAATATTTATACCTGAATTAACAATGATTGCCAAAAATCTCCAGTCTCATTTGGATATCTTACATCTGACATATTATTCCTCGTGCAATGAGTGTTTTCTACTCACGTCTCCTCTTATTGAATGCTAGAAAAATGGGAAAATGTTAGGCCAAATGCCGAGCATTTATGCCACTCTCCGAGTACCCAAATTCTCCAGATCGGCATCTGACATCAACTGAGCATTGAATACTCGGGGGAACAGTTCCTCGGGAGAACTGATCGCGTCGTCTCGGTACATCAGTCATTAATACTTAGCTATCATGACAGTAGCCTTAGACTCCCAGAGAGCAGGTGATAGGAGGCGCGCATTTATTTGTTTTGTCACTATCACTCAGTTCGCCATAAATGAGGGGTTACATCAGCTGTAGTACTCGACTGTTCCGTGTTACCACACCTCGGCTAACCTTTTCGACACCCTTTGGATATCCCAACAATTTTATTATTCCACGTATCAACCAGAAGACTGCAGAACCACCTAGAGTCCCACCAGTCCTCTTCCAAGTAAACCATTCACAGAAATGGATCTGGGGTTGACTAAACAATCTGGGCTAGCTACTGGATTGTAGATATATCAGTCATTTGTCTCTGTTATGGTTTAATATATAATATTTAGAATTAACAAACTCCATCATAACAGAGATAAATATTGGTAGTTAGTAAATCAATAAAGTCCATCAAATCCACATGGTATTCAATGTCGTATAGTGTCATTGTTATATCTAATATTTTTTCTAAAAACTCGATGGACCGATCAGAATTAACAAAAATGGAATCACACAATGTTAGCATGAATTTATTGACTTCTTCAAGACCTAGAACTTTGAGTTTTTCCTTGTCAAAGTTATCCAGACAAATGACTAAGTTAATCTGCAGGCCTATGTAATTGTTTGTGAGTTTTATCTGTCCAAGAACACATGTTGGCAATCCCTATGTAAGGTTGGTTTAGCTCATAGATGACCCAGTTAAACCATTAGGGAAAGTCGGGCCAAAACTACTGCTTTCGAATGAAGTCTATTCAAGTGTGCATTAAAAATGCCGTAAACATAAATAAAACACAACAATTAGCACTATGAATGGCAACCTGCAATGTTCAGAATCATCACAGTTCTATACTAACTTAGAATTAAACGCCTTTTATTCTAAACACAATAAATTAGCGGCATTTCCAAGTTCCAATCCAAAAAGTCCACTCTCATGAACTCTTCTGATCTGTCCATTCGTCAATCGACGAGGAAGCAAAAAGTTCGTGGGAAAGTAACGAATGCCACATTTAACATAATTTCTGGCATATTGGCCGACTGAACCACCAATCGACGAGGAAGGACATGGCACCCATACATCGAGCATTGCAGCCGGAAACTATGTGGAAGGGGCGAATATTTTTGCCAATGCCAATGACACTGCGGCGGGCATGGCTCACTTGGCTATTTACAAAGTTTGTGATGAGACAGGCTGTGGCGAAAGTGACATATTGGCCGCAATGGACACTGCTATTGAGGATGGCGTTGATGTGCTCTCTCTCTTCCTTGGTGGCATGCACATAGGAGAGAGAAAATCAAGGAGAAGAAGAGGTTGAAGAAATGCATGTGCATGGTGGGGTCTATGAGCTTAGCAATTGAGTAGTTCAGTTTGAACAACTGCATGTGCATATTGATGCTTTTACATGACCTGAAATAAAGGATTTTGTGGCTTTGCCTGCTCTTAGACCTCAGCATTGGCTAACTTGTCAATTTCTGCTATGCACTCTAAACCTCTATTTCCACTTCCTATATAAGGCCACGCCCACTCTCCTTCCTTGCATCAACCTCTCAGCACTCAATCTTCGCTCTTCCAATCTTTGTCTCAAATTGAAGGGTCCCCGCGATGGCAAACGCCACTTCGGGGACTGGAGGATCGAGTTGGCTTTCAAAACAGAGTGACCGCTCCTGGTCTTAGCCCGAGGGACCTACTCGCCCTAGACAGATGGCCAGGGGCCGGGGCGTCATGCCGCCGCTTAACACAACACTCCTCAGATTGTTCGGCGTCTCGGGCACGCCTGTCCCTTAGCCGGTCTCCCAGAGCGGGAACTTGTTGAGATTAGGGTCTTTGCCTAGTCGGCACGGTCGAGTCCCTGGATGGTTGCGTACGCGACGATTGCGTCGGCGGTTGCCTCCGAGGAGAACTAGGCAGGAGGATGATAGGGGCAGTGTTGGAAGGCCCGACGAGCCTGGCTCTCCTTGTTGCGGCGGCGGCCTCCATTGTAGCAACGGTGACTGGTAACGGATTAAACATGTCAGGCACAAGGGGCTCGAGAGCCTGATGATCAGACTCTTCTTTGGAATCTCCCTCGGATTCTTTCTCTTCCGACGAGGAACAGTCTTCCCAAACAGAAAGGTTGAAAGAAGGTAGGATCTTGGAGAATCGGTTGTAAGTTGGTGTGTAGCTGAGGAGAGTATGCGTCGTTCTCGCTCAATTGGATCCGAGGACCAAACCCTTAGCAGGTCGGCAAATCGAACTTGGGACCTCAACGGTTGAGCGGCGTCCCAGCGATATCCTTCTGCAAAAGTAAAGTAAAATCAGTGCGTCCCTCAGACCCAAGAATAGCAAAATCAAGAAGTCGAAAAGAAAACACACTTTCATCCCTCTGCACTTTGGGGCAGTACAATCCGTCATACTCGGGCCCGGTCCTTTTCTCCCAACTTTTTGTCAAGCATGATCAAATCGTCTACATACCCCTTGTCCTAGTCGGGCATGTGGGTTACCAGATACATTGAGACGTCTTGAGCCTGGAGGTAATATCGCCCCCCCCCCCCCCCGGCGACTAGCCTCAGGTCGTAGCAGACTAAAATTTTATCTACTCCTAAGTTGGTCTCCAGCCTAGCGTTTAAGGCGACTACGCCTATCACAATTCTAAAGAAGTTAACCCCACATTGAAGGGGAAAGAGTTTCAGTTGCATCAACACTCCCAGCAACAGGGGATGGAGGGGGAAGGTCAACCGTCCCTCCATGATGGCCTTCGTCCAGAAAGGCATCATGTCCATATTTTTCATATCCCTCCTATGGTGAGTGGGGTTGAAGGGGAAAATGAAGACAGGTTCACGGATGTGGTACCTAACCGTAAATGCTTGAATATTCTCATCGGTCACTTGAATTCTCCTCATCTTGTGGGTAGTCCTAGCCCTAACAGACGTCTCCCCCCTGGTTCTACTAGTTCTAGCCATTGGTGGGCGCTAAAAGGATGAAATGTAGCAGAAATAAAGAGAGAAAAAGCTCGAGTGAAAGTATTTACAGGAAGGTGGTCTTCAAAGAGAAAGCTCGGAGAACGAAGGAAACTCGGAGGAAAATAGAGGAGCACTCGGGGTCTGATTGCCGAAGAGAGGTTGAGGATGTAAAAGTCCTAAGAATGTATAAAAACCTTCTATTTATACTGCCTCACAGGGAGCGGGAATCGAAAAGTTGGGTCATCATTAGGACGTTTGAAAAGGGCAGCACCAGACGTGCAAGTAATCGTCGCTATTAATAAGGCGTGATGAGGGAACCCCCAATCCCTTTAAGCCACTTGTCTTACATTGTGAAAAGGATGGCGGCTGGGGGACAGTTGGCGGGACTCTAGGTGGCTCTACAGCCCTCGGGTCGACACATGGAATAATGAAGCCATTGAGATGTCCAAAGGGCGCCGAGGAAGTAAGCCAAGGTATGGTGACACTAAGTAGCTGGGTATGATCGCTGGCATCGTATTTAATGCGATGTGACCCCTCATTTATGGCTGAATGAGTGAAAGTGATTAGACAAATAAATGCTAGCCTACCAGCACCTGCCATCTGGGAGTCTAAGACTGCTGTCATGATGGTTAAGCATTAATGGCCGATGCGCCGAGATGACGTGATCGGCTCTCCCGAGGAACTGTTCCTCTCGAGTATTCAATGCTTAGTTGATGTCGAATGCCGAACTGGGGGATTTGGGTACTCGGGGAGTGGCATGAATGCTCGACATTTGGCCGAGCATTTATCCCATTTTCTTAACATTCAATAGAAGGAGACGTGAGTAGAAAATACTCATTGGACGAGGAATGGTATATCAGATGTAAGATGTTCAGATGAGACTGGAGATCTCTGACAATCATTGTTAGTTTAGGTATAAATACTCTTCAAAAAATAGACAAAAGTACGCAAACTTGAATCAGAAAAATAGTTTATTGAGCAAAATTTTTTGACTTAAACTTCAGAGGGAATTAGTCAAGCGTTCGTCTGACCCCTTTTTTTTTTTACCCTATTGTTTCAAGTTTGTCAACTTGGAAATCGTTGTCTCGTACCATTGCAGGAATTATCCCATGCAGGAACATCAACAGATATATCTATGTAGACAATTAAGTGAGCTCCAACTGCGGCTTCCAAGATACTGCAATAACTAGTATTATATGGTACTATTAGTATAGTCGATCTTCTCTTCACTTGGCCATGTTTTGGGTCGGCAAGAAAATTAGTTAGGCCTCTCCTCTACGACTTAGTACTTTCATGCGGACAGAGATTATTGACGAAAATCGGTAAAAAAAAATTAGTTAGATCCCTCCCCCTCGTCTGCGACGCTTTGGTGCTTCCATGCAGACAAAGATTACTAACAAAAATCGGCGAGAAAATTAGTTAGATCCCTCGTTTGCGATGATTTGGTGCTTCCATACGAACAAGGAATACTGACTTAATATGATCAAACAGCCATGTTTTGGCTCGGCAAGAAAATTAGTTAAGCAATGCAATGGAAACCTAATTTAGAGATGTTTGCGATGATTTGGTGCTTCCATACGAACAAGGAATACTGACTTAATATGATCAAACAGCCATGTTTTGGCTCGGCAAGAAAATTAGTTAAGCAATGCAATGGAAACCTAATTTAGAGATCTAATTAAGGACCTAATTCAATAAAATCATTAGATTAGTTGTGATTTCTAATATTAGACATGACCCACTTTTAATTTAATGTTTTCATTGAATTAAATCCTCAAATTAATTCCAAATAACATTTTTCAAATTAGTTAGGTCTTTCGTCTATGAAATTTTAAGTGCTTCCATACCAGAATACTAATGAAAATAAGATCCGAATAGCTCAACAACTACATACTTGTTTCATTTATTGACAATTATCTGTAAATTTTCCGACCTTATCACTTGGGATCTCACATGAACACTAGAAACTCAATACTCATGTCATATCCCAATTTGATGCATGTAATTTGTAGGTAATTTACACATATTTCATGAGTAAATGGTCGGGGTTGTTCTCGGTTATTAAAAAATTTTAATCATTAAAAACCAACAAGAATCCCACCAAGAAAATAAATATTATATCCAACCTCTAAACAAGTCCATACACATACTCCCATTGCCATCTTAAGAGAATAGAACTGAGCTTAAACATTCTCAATAGTCCACATAATTATGCTCTTTTTTAGCAGCACTTAGATATGCTCTTTTTATTTCTGAACAAAAAACAAAGATATGCTCTTTTAGCAGCACTTACATGTGCTCTTTTAGCGGTACGGCACAGCTTAAACAATTCCCAACCGGCCATATCAGTATGATCTTTTTGCAGTACCTGAGAAAACAATAACAAACTCACTCATATGGAGACACAGGCCCATCTCCTCCTCGAACTTCTATATATATCTCATAGTTCTGATCACAGGTAGGTTAACCACATCAGAACTATGATATTTAAGAGAGATAAATTTATCATAGTCTAATCCTAAAGAATTGTCAAATTTAAACTCAAAACATATGAATTTATAACTCGTCAATGTTACCGCTTCAACTATTCCTTAGCATCAATTATTAGCATGGCTCAGTTTGTGATGCCCAAACCCCTTTTCACAGAAGAAGAAGATGCTGATGCTAGAAAGTTGGCAGTAAAATGAATGGAATATCAACAGATATATCCATGTAGACAATCAAGTTTGCTACAACTGCGGCATCCAAGATACTACTATAACTATTATTATATGGTTCTATTATTATAGTCAATCTTCTCTTCACTTAGCCATGTTTTGGGTCGGCAAGAAAATTAGTTAAGTCTCTCATCTACGACTTGGTACTTTCATGCGGACAAAGATTATTGACGAAATCAAAAGAAAATTAGTTAATGGGTCGGCAAGAAAATTAGTTAAGTCTCTCACCTACGACTTGGTACTTTCATGCGGACAAAGATTATTGACGAAATCAAAAAGAAAATTAGTTAAATCCCTCCCCTCGTCTGCGACGCTTTGGTGCTTCCATGGGAACAAAGATTACTGACGAAAATCGGCAAAAATATTAATTAGATCCCTCCCCTCGTCTGTGACGCTTTGGTGCTTCCATGCGGACAGAGATTATTGAAGAAAATCGCCGAAAAAGATTAGTTAGGTCCCTCGTCTACAACGTTTTAGTACTTCCATGCGGACAAAAAATACTGACGTACTACGATCAAACAACCATGATTTGACTCTACAAGAAAATTAGTTGAGCAACATAATAAAAACCTAATTTAAAGATCTAATCAGGGACCTAATTAAATATGGTCATTAGATTATTAATTGTGATGTGTATGTAATATTAAATTGAACCCAATTCTAATGTAATGCTTACATTGAATTGAGTCTCCAAATTAACTTTCAATAACATTTTTCAAATTAGTTAGGTCTTTCGCCTGCGACGCTTTAGGTGCTTCCATAAAAGAATACTAATGAAAAGAAGATCCAAATAGCTCAACAAGTACATACTTGTTATCGGTAAATTTTCCGACCTCATCACTTGGGATCTCGCATGAATTCCAGTGCTCCCTTTGTTTTTCTGGTAATGTGATTGGGAGCAAGCTCACAATGCCACAACAAGAGATTTATACCCAAATCCACACGGTATCATGAGTCTAAATTGGCTACAACAGACCCCAATTTGATGCGTGTAATTTGTAGGTGATTTGCACACATGTCGAGTTAAAGAGTATATGGCCGAAGTTGTTCTCAATTATTAAAAAAATTTAATCATTAGAAACCAACAAGAATCCTACCAAGAAAATAAACATTACATCCAACCTCTAAACAAGTCCATACACATACTCACATTGCCGTCTTAAGAGAATAGAACTGAGCTTAAACATTCTCAATAGTCCACATAATTATGCTCTTTTATTCTGAACAAAAAACAAAGATATGCTCTTTTAGCAGCACTTAGATGTGCTCTTTTTGCGGTACGGCACAGCTTGAACAAATCCCAACCGGCTATATCAGTATGATCTTTTAGCAGTACCTGCGAAAACAATGACAAACTCACTCATATGGAGACACAGGCCCATCTCCTCCTCGAACTTCTATATATATCGTTGCAACAAATCATTATAGAAACACAAACAGCAACACATTTCTTCTATTGCATTTCTCAATGAAGTGTGAATATTTGCCAGACATGGCTACCATCACATTTCTTCTCACTCTTATTTTTCTGCTGAATTTCTGTCCTGAGGTTGCCGAGGGAAGTAACTTTCCCAGGGCGGATGAAGGAATAGACAAGGATGAGTTGAAAACTTATGTCGTGCACATAAAGCAACCGAAGGGACGAGTTCTTACCCAATATGATGATTTGGGTAGCTATCACCAGTCATTTCTGTCGGTTACCTCTGAAAACTCAAACAAACGAAACCGCTTGCTTTACTCGTACCAAAATGTGGTCAGTGGCTTCGCAGCAAGACTGACAGAGGATGAAGTGAAGGCTATGAAAATGAAGAATGGGTTTGTGTCGGCACATCCAGAAAGAATGTTCCGTGTACAAACAACACATACCCCCAACTTCTTGGGATTGCACCACAATATGGGGTTCTGGGAAGAATCAAAATTGGGAAAGGGCGTCATCATTGGAGTAGTGGATTCTGGAGTTCTGCCAAGCCATCCTTCGTTTGGCGATGAAGGAATGCCTCCGCCACCTGCCAAATGGAAAGGGAAGTGTGAATTCAATGGCTCGGACTGTAACAACAAAATCATTGGTGCAAGGTCATTTAACATTGCAGCCAAGGCTTCAAAAGAAGTGAACCCAATGCCACCATTTGATGATGATGGGCATGGAACCCACACAGCCAGTACAGCTGCGGGTAGGTTTGTGAAGAATGCCAATACACTGGGACAGGCTAAAGGAACAGCAGCTGGGATAGCACCTCATGCTCACTTGGCAATTTACAAAGTGTGTTTTGGACCTGATTGTCCAGAAAGTGATATGTTAGCTGGAATTGATGCTGCTGTCACTGATGGCGTTGATGTGATCTCAATCTCTCTCGGAGTAGAGGATTTAGTTCCATTCTTTAATGATAGCATTGCAGTAGCCTCATTTGCAGCAATTCAAAAAGGAATATTTGTAAGTTGCGCAGCAGGAAACTTCGGCCCTTTCAACGACACAATACGGAATGGAGCCCCATGGATTCTAACTGTTGGAGCAAGCACCATTGATAGACACATCAAAGCCACAGCAAAACTTGGAAACGGGGAAGAACTTGATGGTGAGTCCGTGTTCCAACCAGATGACTTCCCTCAAACATCATTGCCTCTCGTTTACACCGGATCCAATGGCAAATCAAATTCTTCTTTCTGCGGTGAGGGATCCTTTAAAGGTATAAATGTCAAAGGAAAAGTAGTATTGTGTGATCGAGGAGGAGGGATAGCAAGAATTGCTAAAGGAGAGGAAGTGAAAAATGCTGGTGGTGCAGCAATGATTCTCATGAACCAAGAAACTGATGGCTTCAGCACTGCAGCCGATGCTCATGTTCTGCCTGCAACACACGTGAGTTATGCTGCCGGACTGAAGATCAAAGCCTATATTAACTCAACAACAACACCTGTCGCAGCAATCTTGTTCAAAGGAACTATCATCGGAGATCCATTGGCTCCTACTGTTGCTTCTTTTTCCTCGAGAGGGCCAAACACAGAAAGTCCAGGGATTCTGAAACCAGACATTATTGGACCTGGGGTCAGCATTCTTGCTGCTTGGCCATTACCTCTCAATGAAAACTCGAAATCCATATTCAATGTAATGTCTGGCACTTCAATGTCATGCCCTCATCTCAGTGGTGTGGCAGCATTGCTCAAAAGCTCTCACCCTTATTGGTCACCAGCTGCCATTAAATCTGCTATAATGACCTCGGCTGATTTGGTGAATGTCAACGGCGCACCAATTGTCGATCAAACACTTCAACCAGCAGACATCTTTGCCACCGGTGCAGGCCATGTTAACCCATCAAAGGCAAATGATCCCGGGTTAGTTTACGACATCCAACCTAACGATTATCTCCCATACTTGTGCGGTCTAGGATATACAGATGAGCAAGTTGGGATCATTGTGCACAGGCCAATCAAATGCTCAGAAGAATCAAGCATAATCGAAGGAGAACTAAACTACCCTTCATTTTCAATTGCACTAGGCACATGTCAAACATTTACGAGGACCGTGACAAATGTGGGTGAAGCATACTCTTCTTATTCTGTCAGGGTTACTGCACCAAAAGGAGTAGATGTGAGCGTTGAGCCAAATATGCTTTATTTCTCAAAGTTGAACCAGAAGGTATCATATTCAGTAACATTCAGCCGCCACAGTGGGATGACCAGCAAGTTTAGCCAAGGGTGTTTGGAATGGGTTTCCACCAAACACATTGTCAGGAGTGTAATCTCTATTAAGTTTACCTAAGAAAACAGATGCATCTAGACTTGCCAATTCGCCTAAGAAAACGGATGCATCTAGACTTGGTTGGCAAATGGAAACTTGTATCCACATAATCAAGATGTCCTGTTTGTATGATCAACATATGTGCATATGATTGAAGTGTTATCTTCAATGCAAAGCATATTCTAAACCTAAAGATCTAACAAACAAATCTGTATCTCTTTACACAAACTGGGAAGAATCATGTAGTAAAAAATGGATACACTAAATACTAGAGTTGTGTGAACCAAAAAAAGGAAGTAAGGTGCATTAGGATGTCCCACGAAATTCAAATGGACCCACTTGCATTTTTCCCAGCATTAGAACTAAGAATTCATGAGTGCTGCATTAAGGAAGGTAAGGAAGAGACAACATCAGATCTGATTGTTTCCAACCTCTACAACTTAATATGTCCAATTAGCAATTTTGCAAATGCAACATTCAAGATGATAGATTTTTCACTTGGACCACAAAATAAAATGCAACAGGAATACTCATTTTCTATAAGGTAAACCCTCATCATCTGATACCGAGAAGAATACATTTACAGAGAATGATAGACAACATATAAATCACCCTATTTCTCTTTTCACTCTCTTCGATCAGTGCACCAACCATGGAAAAGCAAATATTCTTTGTGTGGTTTCTCTTCTCTTTCTTCTAACCAACAGATTTAAAAATGCTGCAATGAACTCAAAAGTTGCATTACGAAAATATACCCAATAATTGGTGTCAAAGTTTGTCATTGCATGCATCCCACTCTCTTCAGGGATTGTCCAAATGCTCTAAAAGTCTCAACTACTTACAAATCAAAGTACTCCAAGCTTTGAACCCCCAATTAATTTTGTGTTACGCATGTGTATATCATCATAAACACAATTATATAAATTATAGACTAAAGCCACAAATTCTTGGAAGAGCACCAGTTAAAACCAATGAAGGCTGTAAAGAGGAATACAACATACCCAACTTCTTGATGTATGGCGTCAGAAAGTAGCCGGGCCGTAATATTTTCAGCGCCTGGACGATTAAGCTCTGCTGATTGTTTCACCACTGATATATAATGCTATTCCGCCGCTCTGCCTGCAATAAACACTCAAACACCAAACTGTTGATTTAGAGGAGACACATAGCAATTTCCACACACTATCCATTGGTTCCAAATTCATAACATTGGTTCTCTGACAATCTCTCTTTTTTTTCCCCTCTGGGAGAAAGCCAAAGTTAAAGTTGCTGACACAAAACCTCTTTTGAAAATCGTATCCAATTGTGCCACCAATAAAAATCTTATCCTATTACAATTGTAGAGAATATACTTAAAAAGAAACAAAAAGTAAAAAATAGAGACAGAAAACTGGAAAATTATACACACTTCATTGTCTCAGATATGTTAAAAGGTGACGGGAGTTTTGCATACCCATATTCTAAGACGGCCATATACACACGATTCAAAAGGTGAAGGGAGTTTTGCATACCCATATTCTAAGACTGCCATATACACATGATTCATGCCTGATGAATTCGAGGCATTTCAAAGTAGTGATAGAAACTTTGCACAGTTAAACTGGAATTCTCATGCCACTCACTATCAAACAGGGAAGGGAAAAAGAGAATAAAAACAAAAGAAGCAAAAAATATAAAATGGGAATATAAAAGCCAATATTTATGTTCATACTATGTACAAGTTCTTTTATCTTCCCAAAAGAAAATGAAGGGCAAAAGCCTTCCTCAAAATGTATCATAAAATTAGGAACAACTATAATACAACATTACGCTAGCTGTGGGGATTGCAACATGATAACTTCACCACGAGCTGCCTGGCGAGAAATAGAACTCCATCGAATCCTAGTCTTCATGAACACACCAAGTATAGCCTCATTTCTTGGATCGCAATCATTCAAGGGACTGATGATGAGTCCTCCTTTTTGAACCACAGAGCAAGTGCCTGCAAAGTTCAAACACATATCAAGCTAACAAAATGGTGCGTTATGAAACTGCAGCTAATGCCATCAAAAAGTAAACTTAAATACTCTTACACAGTATCTTCGTTTTCTTTACTGATTAGTAAGTCCTGTTTTCTCCATGATGGCCATCTGCCTATCCAACGCATCAATTATTAGTATAGCTCAATTTGTGACGCCCAAAGGCCCCTAACCCCTTTTCGCAAAAGAAGAAAGAAGAAGAAGATGCTGATGCTGAAAATTCAAAGTAAAATGAATCGTATACCTGCTTAAGAATGTCATTTTCACTGACCTGCTTAACAAAGAACAGTTGCAATTGTCAGAATTCCTATTGTCTATGTTCCACGCTTCAATTAGGATCAACTCATACACTTGGGCTGATAAATATCATTACAGGAGCCCAGACCACTAGTGCTTAAAAGAAGATGTCTAGAGAAGTCTAACTGGGAAAATAATGGAATATCAACAGATATCTCTGTAGACAATCAAGTAAGCACCAACTGCAGCATCCAAGATACTGAAATAACTATTATTGTGGTTCTATTATAGTCAATCAACTCTGTCCTTTCTCTTCTTCCTGATACAGTCAACAAAAACAGTCCTCATCTTTCCCAAATCCAGCGATATGCACTATAATGATCGGTTGGTGGGTAGTTGCATACTAAAAATGCAAAATAGACAAAACACCTCTAAAAAGGGACAAATGGTGCAAACTATCCATGGGGTTTGCATTTATTACTCTGCCCACTATGGTGTCATGTATGACAATCAGCACCGTATTGACTAGTGGTCAACTGACACAGTCGGGCAAATGACGCAATGACAATTATATGCTTTGATAATAACCATATAAAACCAACCTAATTGATAAAGCCAAATACGGCCAGAATACAGTCCTAAATTTGAGAAACAGAAAACAAAAAAAAAAAATTTCTCTGTTGTCCTTCCCCACCAAACTCCAAAAAAAGAAAGAAAAAAAAACTCATGCACCTCTACCCCCACAAACCTTCCCAAGCCCCCCCCCCCCCAAAAAAAAAAAAAAAAACAAAAAAAAAAATTTGCTCTGCCAATTTATTTTTTTTGAATTTCTTTTAGAAAATTTACTTTTTTTTTTTTTTATTGAATTTAAGGTGAATCCCTCCCCTCCCCCCCCCAAAAGGAAGCGAAAGAGAGTTGGGGTTGACTATAAGGAGACTTGAAACTTCAAGAGCTTTCATGAAATTTTCGCAACCACAGAGGACAGAGCATTAAAATAATTCAGGAAAAAAAATAAATTTTGAGCAATCAAACCAATGTTGGTTCATAAATAAGCTAAGTTACCCACAAACCTTTAACGAAAGTAACTATAATTTCCAGTAAGTGTACTCTAGCAACAGACTGCCCTTTGCCTACATCTCCGCCCATCAAGAAATGCAAATTGCAATTGTACCAAAATAGAAGAAAGTAACAAAAACAATAAGAAGATTAAAAAACAAACAACTAGCTTGGAAATTTGGGACTGGCCAGTTAAGCATTTTTGATATTGAAGTAAGACCAATAATATGAAAAGAATAATTACAAGTTTCAGAAAAACAACACCAAAACTAGTGTCAGTGCAATAAATCAGACAAATATACTAACATGATGGTACATTTTTTTGGTAGTTCTGCTATGGGCTTCCAGATATTCTTCATACGTCTGCATTCATAAAAAGCAAGAACAAATCAGTTATCATCCTAAATACTTGTGATTTTTTTTTTGGTGGGGGGGAGGGGGGGATGAATAGGATTACTCAGATTAAAGAGCTAATGACAACCATTATGATTATCAGGCAAAGAGCTAAGGACGACTAGAAAAATGAACAGCAGCATGATAAGCAATTGACAGAATTGTGGAAGCAAGAAAAATGGAAAAAATATATGTAATTTTTGGAAAAATGCATGGTTTGAGAATCCATATCAAAATACAAAATTCACATACAACAGTCCAATATGTTGCAAGAAGATACACAAGAATAAAACCCACTCAGGCCACACAAAACTTGGCTAGTTGGCTTCTTGGATAAGAAAGAAAAGTAATTAAGTCATAAAATCTAATATACAACCCCAATACCATTTCAAGAATGTCATCTTCAGTCAGGGTACTAGTACGAGGGCTTCTGTCTGCAGACAAACCCCAAACATCAAGCCGAGAATAATTATCCTGTTCCAATTGTGTATTAGTGACGCTGCGACTGATTGGAGAATGTTTCGACTGTGTAAGTTTTGGTGTCCCCGAAGTGATGGATAAATTCTCAGGAAAATTTATACCAGATGGTCTTTGGTGTGCAAAATGAAACCTGCCTGCTTGAGGTTGATGTTGGCATAGTAATGAAGGATAAAACATGGCTGATGTAGCCAGTGCCATATGTGCTGGGGGCACAATATAATCTTCATCTCTTAAAGAAAATGAACGCTCTATACAGGGCCTTTTTAAAGGATGATCATCCCCAGGAAAATCATATCTGTAGAAAGTAATAACAAATAAGGCTCATACTCAGGACTTGGTGAACCTGTTATTCTTTACACTCGAGAAAAATCTGTACCTTTTCAATTGTGCATCCATATCAATCTTCCCGTTAAGAAGCTCACAAAGAGCTTCTCCAATATCAGTCGGTAACTCCTGAGAATAGTAAATGAATCATAGTCATTTACACAAGGCCTCTTAGAGTAGCTTACATCCACAAACACAGGCATCAAAATAGTATAAAGGAGAAAAAAATAAATAAATAAATAAAGGATTAAGATTGATACCTGGCAGTCTCGACTAATTTTGATAGGTTTGTAGTGATTCAATGGATTTTTCAGATGCAGAGTTTTTTGAAAAGGCAAGTTATTTAACTGCAGCCATTTGACCTTAAAACTGCGCCCCCAGGGGTTATTTCCCCCACTCCCTTGACTCCAAACATTGTCTCGTCTCCACCCAATTGAGGACATCATTTGGGCATAACCTTGGAAGAAACCACTCATGTTGACACTAAATATTAAAATTACCTTACCAGAATTCTGCAAGACAAGCAAGTGCCACTCTATAAAGCATAAAAATTCATAAGGCTGTTCATGCATTTAACTCAAGTGAGAAAGACATCTTACATGAAAGGCTTCCTCCAGAATTGGCTCATTCATGACTTGAGTGGCCCAAATTCCTTTCTCTATCGACAATTGTAAATTTTCATGGTTCAAACTCTTTATGATGAAATATCTTGTACTGTATAGGTTACCCTTTTTAACTCTACTTAAAGTTCCAACATGATCACAAGATCGAGCTTGTCCCTCTACCCCAGAACGATAGGCATCCTCATGCACTTTGTAGCTTGGGCTTTCTGACAAGAAAAATATTCAGCTCACTCTTAGGAACCAGCACAGACATAAATTTCAGCAACTTCCGTGATGTATTTTAGGATACTTGTATACCAGCACTAAAAACACTGAATCTACCAATATTAGATGGGTTGAATTTGCATATTACTAGTACACCAAATTACAATATATTAGTTAGTTGCAAGCATTGAAAAATCCTATTACGATTTGAAAAACATAATACAATCAACCTTACTGTGCATTCACAACATTAAGAAATTCAGAAGCTTTAATGCAGCATATTATATTGAATGTCAACAGAAAATTTAGGTTTTAAAATAATTAGAATCACCTCGATCGTCCAAATTCCCCAGGTCATGTTTCCATTCAGTCACTGATGAATCAACAACAGAAGCATCTTCCTTTGCAGTATCAGATGACATGTCTTGTTGAACTCCTAGTCATACAAATAGCAGAACCGAGGCAGGCGTAGATTAGAAATACAAACTAAATCTCATGGCATTAAAGATGAAACCAAATGTATCATATTCAATGACGCACTATCGCCAAATATCAAAGAACTTTCAGTAACAAAAAACATCACTAAATAATACCAATGACAAGAACATAGGTGCAGAAACTATGATCAAAATATGCAATGTTCAGCACACTTTCAGTCTCCATAGAACAAAAAGGAATCTTCCAGAATTTCCCCATTGCATGTTATAGCCAGAAAGAAAAAAGTACCTACCATATGCAACAGATATAATAGGCATCTGCATAACAACTATACAACCATTGGATACCTTGTTGAAAACTCTAGAGTCTCAATGCAGCACAAACTACGGAGAATAGGATGTATGTCTTCCTGCTATGTGTTGTGCTGTATTTAAGATGTATCAGGCTACTTCAAAAACAAACAATCCCAGTAAATGAACCCTTAGTCCTGGGTTTCTAAGCCAGCCCTTGATGTTCATAACTTCAAATTATCCAATATTGCGAATAGGAAAATTTTTCTCCTTTTTTCTTTGGAAAAAAAAAAAAAGTAAAGCTAATATCACTATGGGCGCCAAAAACAACAACACTTATGCGCCACCGCCTGAACAACCCAACAAAACTCTGAACTAAGGATACCAAAAATAAAAACAACGTTGTTAGTCATTTATAACAACGAATAAATTTCTCTTCAGACGGCCACAAAATCAATGACACGCTTCAAGTGGATTTTACGGTAACCATTAACCAGGTTTTTAGCCTTAAAAGTACAGCAGCAACTGACTATACATAACACTCGAATCCAAAACCAACATTGAGACACCCATTCCAATAATACAAGTCAAAATCATCACAACCAATATGAAATTCATGTTCTTCACTTAATTTTAACAAAATTCAATGAAAAACGATGTACATACGAATCAATATATTACTCTGCTGGATATAATTTATGCAAAAGAACTTTGTCAAAGAGCGGGGAAATGTAAAATGGGGATAAAAAGCATACCTTTTCAAGGAAGAGTAAGTCGAAAAACAGGAAGTTGTTGAAGATAGAAGCAGAGAAAGAGAGAGATTGGGGACGAGTGTGGAGTGATGACGATGATCAGGAGTTGGGATAAGCTGTGCCCTAGTTTTCCCAACAAAGCCCTTTTCGAATTCGTAAAGTCCTTTTAATTCGTAGGCCAACAATTCTGTCTTACATTTTAAGGATAAATTTCATTCACGTCCCTAATGTTTTATCCAACCAACTATACGGCCCCTTTAGATACAGATGATAATACTATTTCCCCTCTACTTTGATTGTCTTTAACAGATTTCCCACCGTTAATGCGCGCCCTTACGAAAATATCACAAAACTCGATGATGTAAGAATTTTATTTTCTGAAATGCCAAGCCTTTTGTTGTAATAGTCAAACTAAACCTATAAATCTTTTAGATTCACCAAACCAAACATATTGTCAATCATGATCGAATTTAACTTGTTGCTAAACAAGCCTTAAATCCTTATTATTTTTTTTTGTAACTCTCACCGCTATGAATTGATCACACAAGCACACACAACTAGAATTATCTATACAACGCTACCTCTCTCACCCCATTGGACCACCCACCTATCTACTTGATCAATCTTAAGGCAGCCACTTCCCTTCTTTCCTCTACGAGGTCCATATCCAAGCTGAGTTGATGATCGTTTCCTCCAAGGTCGAAGGTCTGTGTCCTTTTATAGTAGAGAGGCCTACTTCTAGAGGCATAACCGCCTCCACTCCATATGCGAGGGTGTAAGGTGTTTCTCCCATAGAGGTTTGAGGGGTGGTTCTCTATGCCCACAGAATATTCAGGAGCTTGTCCACCCACTTCCCCTTTGCCTTTTCTAGCCTTTTTTGGATTCCACTAATGATAGTCTTGTTGGACGACTCCGCCTGTCCATTCGCTTGTGGATAGGCATGGGTGGAATAGTAGTTCTGGATACCAAGGTGCTCGCAAAAAGACTTGAAAGACCCGTTGTTGAATTGGGTTTCGTTGTCCGACACAAGTGCACGGGGAATCCCAAATATCGTTCCTATATTCTTCCATACAAACTTTTTGGTATCCACACGTCCCTGATATGGGTTAGGGGCTCCGCCTCCACTCACTTGGTGAAATAGTTGGTTCCTACTATCAAGAACCTCTTGTCTACAGGAGCCCTTGGAAGGGGTCCAACCAGGTCTAATCCACATTGAGCAAATGGTCAAAAACTAGTTAGCGGATGTAAGTCCCCCGCCGGCTGTCTGATGGTGGTCGTGAACCTTTGGCATTGATCACATCTTTTGACGTATGCTTGAGCATTTCTTTGCATGCGCAACCACCAATACCCTTGAAAAATGATGCGATGGGTCGTGGACTGTCCTTCTGTACGCCCCCCCCCACATATTCCCTCAAGTACCTCGTACAAAAGGAGTTTGACTCCGTCTTCCCAGATGCACAGCAGGTAAGGTTCGATGAATGACCATCGATACAGTTTTTGATCCGGGGAGACCCAGAACCTTGGGGCTTTCAACATTATCTTCCTAGTTTCCCTGGGGCATTTAAGGAGCTCCCTGGAAAGGAGAAACTTGAGTAGCGGGTCAGTCTAGTTGGGGGAATCTTCTCCCTCCAGAATGACAGCCACCCCGGAGGCTCCGTCTATGCTGGAGTTGGGAAGGTATTCCACAGTGATTCTCCATGTCATGGTGGAGTCTAGTGTCGAGGCCAGGCAAGCCAAGGCGTCGACATGGGCATTCTTTTCCCGAGGAACTTGTATAACTTCAACTTTCACGAACTTATGGAGCAAAGCCATCGCTTCATGATGGTAAGCCCTCATTCTGGAATCCCTCGTCTCGAATTCCTCATTGACTTGGTTGACCACCAACATCGAGTCACAGTGGACGATCAAGTCTGCCATGCCTGCTACACCAGCGAGTTTGAACCCAAATATGAGGGCTTCGTACTCCGCCTCATTGTTGGATGCTTTGAAACCTAGCCGAACAGCTTGTTCCATGACCATTCCGTCCAGGAAAACTAGCAGTACTCCGATTTCAAAGTCATTGCTGTTAGAAGATTCGTCCACACAAAGGCTCTAGGACCCTTACCCTCCGGCCGAGGTCCCCCACGGAGGAGTGGAGACCCTTCCAAGAGGGGGGGTCTCCCTGGTGAACTCTGCTATAAAATCTGTCAACACTTGTCCTTTTATGGCTACCCGTGATTTGAAATGGATATCATGTTCTCTCATCTCCACCGTCCATTTAGCAATTCTCCCCCGAGAGATCTGCCTTCCTCAGGATTGTCTTCAAAAGTTGGTCCGTCAGTACGGTGACAGGGTACGCCTGAAAGTAGTGCCTCAACTTCCTTGCGACTGTGACTAATGCTAGTGCCAATTTTTCCAGAGGTAGGTACTTTGTCTCTGTGTCTAACAGGGCCTTGCTTACATAGTACACCGGCCCTTGCTCTTGCCCAAGCTCGCGGACCAGCACTCTGCTTACTACGAATTTCGAGACGGCTAAGTACAAGAATATCATTTCTCCTCTAGTCGGCACGGATAAAGTAGGGAGGACTTTGAGGTATTCTTTGATCCCTCTGAGGGCGTCTTCACATTCTTGGCCCCAAGTATCCCTCCCGGCCTTCTTAATAGCCCCAAGAAGAGCTTGCATTTGTTCGACGAACGAGAGATAAAACGATTTAGTGCTGCCAACATCTCTATGAGTCTCTGGACCTCTCGAACCGTTCGGGGACTTCGTACATCCAAGATAGCTTGTATCTGTTCCGGGTTGGCTTTGAATCCTAGTCGACTCACCAAGTACCCAAGGAATTTTCCAAGCCCAACTCCAAAGACACATTTTACGGCATTTAGCTTTAACACATATTGGCGAAAGGTCGAGAAAGTGTCTTTCAAATTCGTTAAGTGATCTTCGTTTCTCCTATTTTTAACCAACATGTAATCAATATAGATCTCCATGGTGTTTTCTAGCCATCGTTTGAACATCCGGTTCATAAGCCTTTGATAGGTGGCTCCCGCATTTTTTAAGCCAAAAGGCATGACCTTGTAACAATAAACTCCCATTGGAGTGATGAAGACGATCTTCTCCTGGTCGGACGGATGGAGAGGGATTTGGTGGTAACCCGCCTTGGCATCTAGGAAGGTCATTCGCTAGTGTCCTGCCGTGGCGTCCACCAGTTGGTCCACCTTGGGGAGGGGGAAGTCATCTTTGGAACATGCCTTGTTTAAATCAGTGAAGTCCACGCAAACACGCAACTTCCCCTCCTTCTTCTTTGCGTAGACAGTGTTTGGCAGCCATTTTTGGAAATTGAACCTCTCGGATGGTATTGACTTCCAGGAGCTTATCCACCTCCTCGTTTACTACTTGGGTGTGGTGTGGCGTCATGTGCCGTGGTTTCTGCTTTACCTGTTTGCGAGTGGGGTCGACATGAAGTCTGTGAGTTATCACTTCGGGGCTTACGCTCTTTATTTCCATCGTGCTCCAGGCAAAAACGTCTGCATTCTTCCTTAAAAAGTTGGTCATCTCCTCCTGGTCGGCCGAGGGCATAGTGGAACCAATCAGGAAGTATTTTTCCTCTTCTTCGTCCACCAATAGTACCTTCCAAAGGTCCTGCACCGAGCGATCAGCCGGATCCGTCCGAGGCTCGTCTATTCCTAGATGCCCATACTATAATTGTTATGTGTTCAAGATATCTTACAGGACTTACTCCTCTTTGAAGGCGACCCCTGCCCCTTATGGTAGAATAGAAACAGTTTTTGGCGGACGCTTGGTCTCCACGGATTTTTCTCACTCCCTCCGGCGTGGAAAATTTCAATTTCTGGTGATAAGTTGAATGCACTGCTCCGAAGGTATGTAGCTAAGCCCGTCCCATAATAATATTATAAGGCAAATCGGAGTCAATCACCACAAACTCTGTATTGGTCGTGATGGGCCCTGTGGTGACTGGGAGTGTCATTGTTTCCAAGTGCAGAGCACAAGAGCCATTGAATCCTACGAGGGGAGTATTAACTTTGGCAAGGTCCTTGGTGCCAAGCCCCATGCACTTCAAGACTTCGAAGTACATCACTTCGGAGGAGCTTTCGAAATCCACCAAGACCCTTTTGACATCAAAGTCGCCAATCCTCAAAGTTAGGATCAAGGCATCCTCGTGAGGGAGGACCACGCCTGCTAGCTCGGCATCGGAGAAAATGATATCACCTTTGTTAATCCGGGGCTTTTTGCTCAACTGGCTCCCTTTGGTCTCGTCTACTTTCCTTGTGAAAACTATCTTTTTTAGATTAGACCTTGGTGTTTTAGACGTCGGACGCTCTAGTGGGCAGACATGGATGACGTCAGTTACGTTGCCTCGGACGGCAGTTTGATTATTGGTGTTGTGGTCCTCCCTTGGGGCTGGTTCCTCGATGTATTCCTTCAAATGCCCTTCCTGCATCAACTATTCCAAAAAAGACTTATAGACCCTACAATCTTCAGTGAGGTGCCCAAAGTCCTGATGGTACGAGCATTTCACTTTTTTGATTCTGAGTGGAAGGATCACCTTGCATCTTGGGCGGCTATTTAAAGAATGATTCCTTCTTAATTTTGTGGAGCAACTTGTAGATGGGCTTCTTGAACACGGTGTGGACCCCTTTGAAGGAATTTCCTGTCGGGGGGCATTAACCCCTTTTGGGAAGGGGCGCCCCCGGTCTCTTTTTCCTTGTTCCTTAGGGCGACCATCTTCCCTTTGCCCCCTATCACCTCGTCCTCGATACGAGAATACTTGTTTATCCGGGCCATCAGTTCTCCCATATCGGTTGACGTTTTCTTGGTTAATGACCGATAAAGATTGGTTTCTCGAGAGAGGCCAATCCTGAAGAAGGAGACCGTCATGACTTTAGAACATCCTTTCACCTCGTTTACCTCCTCCCAATAGTGAGCGGCGTACTGACGGAGGGTTTCTCTTTCCTTTCGCCTTAGTGTCAGTAGGGCCCCCACGTCCTTGGGTCGCCTACTCCCTGTGATGAACCGGGTGAAGAATTGTCTTATCAGCTCTCTCCATGATCCTATATTGTTGGGTTGAAGGGACTCAAATCATTTCATGGCGGAGTCCCCCTGGCTCATTGAAGACATTTGGCATAAAAGTCGATGGTCCGGGTGATACAGAGACATCGTCTGCTTGTATTGTCTGAGATGGGTTTCGAGGTCAGAACGTCTATCATAAGTTTTGAACATGGGCACCATGAAATTTTTTGGTATCTCCATCTCCATTAAACCTTTAGTAAAAGGGGACTGGATGGATTCATCATCGGTATCATCCTCCTGCAGGGCTTTATCCTTTCTCTTGAAATCCAATCGGACTCTGAGATCGTTCCCTTGCTCGGGGAGTGTCTCTTTGTGTGTTCGACGCTAGATGGCATGATCCTGAATCTCATGCCGGATAGAGAGGGTCGACCCCTCCTCAGACTCTCCATGCCCCCTCGCCCGGACAGTCCCCGACAAAGGTCATCCCAAGTCAACGGCCTTGCTCGCTTGGCTGGAACCTCCGGGAGCTGTCCTTTGGCCTTCAGGGGCTTTGGAGCCCTAAAGCTTCCCGCTCTATTACTCAAGCAATTTCTCAGATCCTCAGGCTTTACCTCCCTGACGGAAGGCTCCTAGGACCGAAGCGAATTTCAGGATCCTCCGTCAGAGGCTGCAAACTCATCAAGGCGATTGAGGACATTCACATTGTCCTCCTCCAACTGCCATAACCGGTCCCCAAACTTTTCTTCGATCACCTCAGCCAGTTGACGGGCTAGTGGGGCGGATCCTCCAGACCCGATACCCATACTAGTCTGGTGGGTACGCTCCTTCGTATGAACGGTGAGCCCTTTTGTTGGCATTTTTGACGTAGTTCCTCATTTTTGAACAAGAAAGGGCTGGTAAACCGGTATTCCTTTGTTGAGGACTCTTCCCTTTTGTCGAGTATTCACCATGGTCACTGTTCTTTGGAAAACTTAGCCGTTTTCCACAGAGGGTGTCAGATTGTGCGTGCTGATTTTTGCACAATAGATAAAACTAGAACAGATCTCTCTCCACGGTGAGCTCCGACCCGCTGAGATGGTGGATTCAGCAACAAGGAATGAGTTGAGAGGGCCTAAGGATTGGTGATGAATTATTTTTGGTGCTGTCAAACCGATTCTGGTGGCTCACGAGGGATTCTTGGAACACAAAACACAGGTTAGAAAGGCGCCGGAGTGTTTTTCGACGTATCCCCTCCGACGATCAAGTCAGTTCTTTGAAAGAGGGGAAGAAGAAAACATTGTTTGGAGTTATTGAGAGATGATTTTGCGTACATTTGTAAAGTGTTTTTGAGGACTATTTATACCTTCACAGACTCATCATTACCGGTAGTCTAGACAGTAGGTAGCCTTTAGAGACGGGGCAGTGTGCCCCCTGTTTTCGCGTAGGGAATATTCCAGTATTAATTGCTCGGACTTCCGAGTAGTTAATACTCTTTCTTCGATGTGAAAGCTTTAAATGCTAGGGGCCCAGGTCATTTAACCCCCCATATCCATGGCTTCCCAAGTCCCTATGGATGTCATATCATTTTAGGATTCATTAAATACCTGTTTGGAATAGTCGCATATCAGTAGGGGTAATTCTATCTTTTTGCCCTTCATCTTGCACTTCATGCCACGCGTCTGACTCTCCATGGTTAAGTGTCCAGTTCATTCTGTCATTCTGACTCCTTTGAGCAGAGTGTCCTTCTGGCCCCTAATTTATTTTAGGTTGTTCATCTGTCAATCAATAGCCTTCTTAGGAGATGAGGGCCCAGGGAGGGGCCGGTGCGAGTACTCTCGGGGCCGAGGATATTTGACTCCTCCGTGGGTCTGAGGGACACATGTCTTGGAGCTGAGGGAACACGTCTTGAAGCTGAGGGAACTACCTTTGGAGCCCAGAATCTTGTCAGCCAAAGCAAAGGGGTCTTGGAAACCCGAGGACACGTGGCCTTGTCGGAGGCAATGAAGTATCTCGGCTTTGAGGACACGTGTCATCGACTAAAGCCTTTTTATAAATGTCCCATCAGAATTAATGTGAGAACTACGAAATCTAATGTATTTGATTTGTTCGCATCATTTTGTCATCGATCACAATTTGGGTCGGTTGATGAGTCACCCCAAAAAAAAAACAATAGTTAGTTTTATTGACTCAAAGAGAAGTTGAAAGAAAACGAGGTATGTGTCAATTTTCTATTAATTTGTGTGACATAAGTGAAGTTCATTATCAATTTTATATACATAACATACTAGACACTAAATTAAATATGCAAATTAAGTACATGTAGCATTCGACTAAGAAAATGCGATAGGAATATAGTTTTTATCCTTGATTTGTTTTTCCTTCCAACACCGAGAAGTTCTCACAATTTCTTCCACAGCCACGATATCCATGATGGAGATAAAAATAATGAATTTTAAAGACCCTACGAAAAAAATATTATTAAAGATAGTAGGTAGTGCTGTAGTGGGTACACAATGGCTCGGGGCACATATATGTTACAGCCTATAACAGCCTTGATTAAAGGTTCAAACATAAAACAGCTAAGTAGAACTAGGAACGACGTCGTAACCAAGTTTAGAATCAAGACCGTCCTGGGTCTTCCTGAACAGCTTATGCTGGATATGCTGAGCAAATGTCCGGGGCAGGAAGAGCGGTGGCTCGGCCTCGGAAACTGTCTCCGGCAGCGGCTTGAGGATGATCTTCTCCTTGGGTGGCTCACAGAAAACGGCCCAGGAGATCCTAACCTTCTCTTTGTTCACAAGCCCCCTGTGGAGTATACTCTTGTACTTGCCATTGCTCAGAATCTCAACGGTATCTCCGATGTGCATTATGATGGAATTAGGGACACATTTGGCGGTGATCCACTTGCCGGAGTAGAAGAGTTGCAGGCCGGGCACCATGTTGTGGAGGATGAAGGTGAGTGCACTCACATCAGTGTGCGCTTCGACTCCGAGAGCTAGTTCTGGTTGAGGGCATTTGGGGTAGTAGTTGATTTTCATTTGGAGAAACAGCTCTTCCATGCCGCCAACTTCTTTTTCTAGCCTTCCTTCTTCTAGTCCCAACCCGAGAGAGAGAACTGAAAGTATCTTGGTGGCTAGGCCTCTTAGTTGCTTTGCATACTCACTTGTTGCTGGACTGCGTGATGAGTGATGACGAGTTTAAACTCAGAAATCATTACGGATTATTAAAGCAAAAAGGTCTTGAATTAATACTATCACGGTCATGATTAGAAAACCTTGAGAACTTACATGTAGCCGCTTGGTGACTTGGGCCAAATAGACATGTCCCTCTTCTCCTCTGGGAACACACAGTGGAAGAAATAGTCTTCCCACTCCAGTTGACCACTAGCATTGTTTGCTAGCTTGCTGCCATAACCCTGGACATTGTCTGAAGCCGGGTCATTTGCATACTTCTCCTTCTCCTCCATTGGCTGATCAAAGAAGGCCGCTCCGGCTGCCTTGACCCGACCGATGAGTTCATCGGATATGCCATGGTTGACAAGGTGCATCACACCCCACTCAATGCTAGCATTCTTCAACTCTTCTCGACATCTATCTCGAATCTCAGTATCCTCCGAGTCAATGTTTTGTAGATTAATGGTTGGTAACTGAAGCCCTTCGTCTTTCTTCTCTTCCTCGAATATGTTTCCGATGCCTGTGAGTTCTTCCTGAGGCCTCACATATTCTTTGGGGATTAATTGAATCCCACTGCTGGCCAAGCTTTCAACTCGGAGAGCCGTTGCATGCATCACACTTCTTTGTAGTGTAATTTCTCTTCTTTTCTTTCCTTTCTCTCTTTGAATTTTGAAACCCTGTTTTTAAAAGCAATACATATGCTCTATATGGCCAATTTTTGAGGGCTTTTATAGAAGTGTCTTAGAACTATATTATATTCAATGATAACAAATAAGTGGATGTGAGTTTTTGTAGAACTGAAAAGATGGTAGAGCTACCAACATAGATGTGTGTATGTGTGAGAAAGAGAGAGAGAGACTGACGTGATAAGCTGTTTACCACTCAAAAGTTGACGGACCGTAGAGACAAGAAGATGAAGTTTCCTTGGCTGATGGTTGAAGCACGAGGAACTCTAACGGTCAAGGTGGTCATGTTCTCGGGGGGGGGGGGGGGGGGAGAGTTTGGATGGCTGGATAAACCTGGATACACCGTGTTGAATTAGACAAATAAGCCATGGGTCTCATTTATCCTTACTTTGACAATATATTTTGAGGCCAGATATTCGTAACTTTTCAAAAAATTGTTTGCAGTGATTCAGCTCCTTTATCCCTCCCATTTGGACAAAAAAATCCCACCAAAACTTTGGGATTAAGCAGCAACCGACAGGATACATATGTATTTTTACCATTACACTCCTGTAAAGCAAAATAAGGTTTCTTTATCTTCTGCCATTTTCACTTGTCCCCATCTTAGAACGGCGCCAACTCCTTCCATTGGCAAGGTACTCTCTCTCTTTGTCTACATTGATTTATGTATATCGGTTGAGAGAAGTTGGTCTATATCGATGTATTGATTTGTGTCCTCTTGTGGGTTCATTTGCTGGGTGTTGCTCTCTGTCTCTATAGCTCTGTCTCTATGTAGCTTTGTATGGGTGTATTATGTGTTGGGTATTTTTTTGGGATAAATATGCTTTTTGTTCGTGTGAACTTGCCTTGTGCATTAATTTTAAGCACCCCGCAACGTTTCAGACATTAGCCATGGAGAAAGTCTAGGCTTCTGAATTTCATTGATGGGCTTTGGTCAGCTTGTGAGGAGAGAGACTCGTCGTCTTTACAACAAATTATGTGGACAAACTCGATCCGGCGCTCATTCGGAGGGGAAGAATGGAAAAGCACATTGAATTATCGTACTTTAGCTTTGAAGCATTCAAGGTTCTGACAAAGAATTATCTTAATCTTGAGACCCACAATCTGTTTGTGAAAATTCGTGAGTTGTTAGAGGAAATTAATATGTCCCTTTCGGATGTGGCGGAATATTTGATGCCCAAGACTATTCCTGGGGATGCAGAGACTTGCTTGGAGAGTTTGATCGGAGCTCGAGAAGGCCAAAGAGGAAGCAAAGCTGAAGACTGAGGAAGAAGCTAAAGCCAAAGAATCATCAACTAATGAAGTCATAGAGGGAGAGAAAGATGGAGAGAAAGAAAAGAACATCTGAAAAACAAACAGAGTAAGAAACAATCAATTGGAAAAGCAAATGAGAGCAAGCCATCGTATGTATGAAAAGGAATTAGAAGGGACTCAGAAATTTTGTTCGGGGCGGGCACTTTAATTATGTACTTTAATTTTTTTCCTTCTAATCAATCACACTATATAACATATTTATATTTATTATATTATTTTTGATATATAAAGTCCATTTAACATAAAAATTTCCAAAAAAAAAATGTATATTGTCAGGGGCGGAGCCATGAATATCTATAATAGAGACAAAATATAACTGGTATAAAAAAATATTAAGCCAAAATTAATACAAAAAAATTCAGTTCAAGAATAAAAAAAAAGTAAGAATCAACACTAAATTATTGTGAAATAGTAAATTCAATTTTTATTTAGCCGAAACAAAATCTTAATAAAAAGACACAAAATAATTTTTTTAGTACATTTTAACCTAATTATATATTTCAATAAAATATAAAAAATTTTAAAATCTCTAAAAATTTTTGTATATGAATTAAATGTAAATTAATTTTCGTATTTTATTAGGTTATAAA